TTTTTTTTCTTTTTCTTGTTTTGTTATCACATTTAAACAACTATCGTATTTCCTATTAATCATATATTTTCTATATTTCTTTTTTAAATTTATGCTTTTATTTGAAATAATAGAAGAAAAAGGAAAAAAGAAATGGAAAAGAAGAGAGAGAGAGAGAGGAGGAAAAAATTATGGAAAATTTTTATTTCTTTTAAAGTCATTCATTCATTCGTTTTTTTTCTTTTAATTTTATTAATTATAATTATAGTTTTTCTTTTTTAAATTTAATTTTCTCTTTTTTTCAAGAACGAGATTTGAATACAAAATGTATCGTAACAATGATGGATGAACAAACAATTCTAAGACATCCTATTGATGAGTAAGTTAATATGAAAAAATTATTTTTCATTATGATTTAATGATTATTTATTAATTAGATGGTTATCATTTTTTAAAAAAAAAAATGACTGATCAAAATTTAATTAACTTAATAAATATAGCAATGACTTTAAACTTTTTCCCGGAATTTTATCCTCAAATATTACAACTTATATTAAATTTTTGCATATTTTTAAGTAAAATATGAAATTTAAAAATATTAAAAAGTAAAAATTAAAGTGAAAGAGAAATATTTTGCTTTTGCAAAATAAAATTTAATTTTGTTAAAAATATGAATTCTCTTTTTTTAGGAAGCAACCCAAAAGTTTTGCATACGATCATTGCTTTAATTCTTTGGATCCTACTGCAAATAATTTTATCGGTATGAATTCTCATTTTATCCTAAAATATCATCACTTATAATAAATTTGATAAAAGTTAAGTATAATTAATCTAATCACTAATTAATTATTTTATGGTTTATAAAAATGAATACATTGTTTTTTTTTTTTTCAGCCAATAATTTATATTTAGATACTGTTTTGTGGCTTATGAGCCTTGTCCAATAAGATGTCTTTTCTTTCTTTTTTTTTTTGACCATTAGCTTATATTTAGCATCGAGGAGATCTATGATATTTCAATTTTCTCAAATTTGATAATAAAAGAGTATGTATGATTGAAGAATTGTAAAATTTGCATTATATTGAAATTTTAAGAAATCAAATGAGTTTTTATTTTCAAATTTAAAATTATCTTAATTAACTAATTTTTGTTTTCTTTTTATGTTTTTTTTTTTTTTTTTAAGATCAAAATGAAGTATTTCAACAAGTTGGTTCTACCGTACTTATCAATGCATTTGCTGGTTATAATACTTGCATATTTGCATACGGACAAACTGGTATTTTTATCAATTCTTTTTTTCAATGATAAAACAAAAAATAAAGTAAATTTCATAAATTGTTTATGTTTGAAAAAAAAAATGTAAAATTTAATTGTTAAATTTTTATTGTAAATAATTAATTAAATATTTTTTACTTTTAGGTTCAGGTAAAAGTTATACAATGATGGGTACAGCAGAGAATCCTGGTATTATTCCACGTCTTTGTTGTTCTATTTTTCAAAAAATTGATGAATTAACTTCCGATAATTTAGCATTTAAAGTAGAAGTTTCCTATTTGGAAATTTACAACGAAAAAGTACGCGATCTTTTGGATCCTAAAAAGTAAGTGATATAAAGTTAATCAGTTAAAATATCTCTATGATATATTCGAAATCCAAAATATCACGTATTTGAAATTATGATAATAAATATATATAATTCTGAATAATAACAATATCCTTATATATCTATTATCATCTGGAATAATATCTCTTATCAACATTAATCACATCATTAACGCTCTTATCATATTTCAATTATCAATACTATTCTATTCTTCCCTTTAATTCATATTTCAATTTTCAACTTTTATAATTTTCAACCTTTTTTTTTTTTATTTCAACTTTCATATTTTAATTTTCCCTTTAATACTATTCTATTCTTCCCTTTAATTATTACCTGTTTTCTTTTTTGCTTTTTATTTATCAAATATTTATGCTAATAATTTCCTTCATGGATTATCAGAATGGAACAATATGTTTGTTATTGATTGATATTATAATATTGATAATAAATGATATTTATTTGTTTCTTATCATTTAAATTTGCATTAATGCATTTTATCATGCTAAAATTTAACTTCCACATGAAAATTTTTCATAGTTTTAGAACAAATTAAATTTTATAAATGCTATCATCACATTATCAGAAATTAATTATTAAAAATTTTTAGGACAAATAAGAATTTGAAAGTTCGAGAGCATAAAGTTCTCGGTCCAATGGTTGATGGATTATCCGTGTTGGCTGTTTCATCGTTTGAAGTTTGTCATTTATTTCTAAATCAATTTATTTTAAATTTGATAAAATTTAAAAAATTTATTTTGAAACTAAAAAGAAATTATTCGATTCGAAAGATATATTTTTATTTGTCAAAATATGTATGACATATTAAATTATTCAAAAATATAATCATTGTTGTGATAATTTGTAAAATTGAAGGAGGTTGACATATGTGAGTGGTTGACATATCTGATCTTATCAGATATCAGCATATTTTTTCCTTTGTTTTTTTTCTTTTCCAGCAAATAGCATCTTTGATAGAGGAAGGGAATAAATCACGAACGGTTGCTGCAACCAATATGAATACGGAAAGTAGTCGTTCACATGCCGTATTCAATATTCGTCTCACACAAGCTATTACGGATACGGAAAATGGAGTATGTACTAAGTTTCCATGTTTTATCCGTTTTTCATCTGCTAATCGATTATCCATTATTCTTTCCGTTTTTCATCTGCTGATCGGTTTTTCGTTTTGACTGTATGAACAGTTTTTTTTTTTAAAAAAAGAAAACTATTAGCTTAATCAAAAGCTTTTTTCCTGAATTTTAAATCTTCCAATAAATAATATTCAAATATTTCTAAAACTCTGAAATTTCCGATTTTCAGTTTACTGGTGAGAAAATGAGTAAAATATCACTAGTGGATTTAGCCGGAAGTGAACGAGCTCAAAAAAGTGGCGCAGTTGGAAAAAGACTGGAAGAAGGCGGAAATATCAACAAGTATTTGTAAAATATTTTTTTTCAACCGGAAAAATTTGTTGATCAAAATAATTTTCTGATTTAACAGATATGTATTTCTACGAAATATTTGCGTAACTTTTGTAACGTTAGCATGCTACGTGTGATACGTAACGACAAAGTGCAAAGTGTGCACGTTATTATCGATAAATAATTTTACGTTAATTATTGCACTACGAATAAAACATTGAAATAACGAACGAATTAAATTGCAGATCTTTAACAACACTTGGAATGGTAATTTCCGCACTAGCGGAACGCTCACATAATAACGGAATGTCGAAACAGAAATTTATTCCATATCGAGATTCCGTATTAACGTGGTATTTCTCACATTACCTTTATCAAATGATATCTTAAATTGGAAATTATTTTTCGTTCCCACAATGATGGAATTTTTTGTGTATACCTGTTGACAGGTATGAAGGCCACCTGTCAATACTATTAAGAAATAGATAAATCATAAAGACTAGAAAACACTTTTCCGAATCGGTTGTTGTTAATTGTTTTTCAGGTTGCTAAAAGATAGTTTAGGAGGCAATAGTCGAACGGTGATGATTGCGACAATATCACCTGCAGCGGATAATTACGAAGAAACTTTATCTACATTAAGGTTGATAATTACAAATCCAATTAAAAAAAAGAAAGAAAATGCTAGAAATTTGATGGGAAAATAAAAGAATTGAGTGAAAAATGAAGTTAGCATTTTTTTTTTGCGTAAAATTTTGAAAATTAAGACTCGAAAAAATCATATTACCTGTTGTTTCTGGAGCAATTCATTTAATCCGGAATATTTTTTTCCCATATTGTTGAAGGTATGCCGATAGAGCTACGAAAATCGTAAATCATGCCATAATAAACGAAGATCCTAATGCTAAAGTCATACGTGAATTACGTGAAGAAGTGGAAACATTACGAGCACAAATATCACAAACTGTCAAAGAACAGAATGTAAGGATTGGTGACAAATTTGAAAGTTTATTTGATTAAAACCTGTTAAGCTAAATTAGCTCTGTGACAGTTAATGCTAAAAAGTTTAAAGTTAAAGTCATTTACGCTAATGAATTTACTTCATAAATGAATGCTAAGCAAATATTATATTATCAGGAAACAGAAGAATTACGTGAACGATTGGCGGAATCGGAACGTTTGGTAGAGTTAATGAATAAATCATGGGATGAACGGCTAAAAGATACAGAAACTGTTTATCGGGTAACCACTGTGATATGATAAATTTGATAGATAAGATTTGGTATATTGGTATGATTAATTATATGTATATATAATTAATCATATCAATTTAACAGATAAGATTTGATAGATATCATTTTTGATATGACTAATTTGACAGATAAGATTTGATAAAGATGTTTGGTGGATAAGTCTTCTGATTTCGTTCCATTAGTCTCTCTACAAGTGTTTGATTAAAGAATTTTGTCAATGATTAAATCATAGCATCATTGTTACAAGACTTTTTGTGATAAGAAATGATAAGAAATTGAGTAGAAAATTTTTATAAGAAAGTCGAAATGTGATAAGATCAGAAAGTCAAGAATCACGAATAAATAAGAGTAATTCGAAAGATTTTTTCGTTAATAAATTTTTTAAAGTAAACTTTTAGGAAAGACAAAAAGATTTGGCTGAGATTGGTATTTCGGTGGCTGGTTCTGGTATAAAAGTTGAAAAAGATCGATTTTATTTGGTTAATTTAAATGCTGATCCATCGTTAAATGAACTTCTTGTCTATTACATAAATGTAATTACTCATTTTACTCTTTACAAAATACTTAAATTATACTGAACTTTATAGTAAAGTTTAATCTAATCATTTGATAAATAGAATTGATAACATCAAATGTATAAATGATAATTATGTTGCATTACATTAAGATATCTGTAATCACTGTGTGGAACTGATAAGATTAAGGAATATTTGATAAATTTGAGATGAAATTGATAAGATTAAGGTATTTTTTAAAAAAAAAGGATAATTGGATGCTTTTCAAATATGTAAATTTATTTGAAGCATAAAATTTGCTAATTATAGCATCAAGCTATCATTGGTAGTGCAGAACAACAACAACAACAAGGTGTAACTGGTTCCGATGAAAAGATTGATTTTATCCTTCAAGGACTTGGCGTACAGCATCGTCATGCTTTATTGGAAATTGTTGAAAATGATAATCAACAGCGTCTTTATATTGAACAACTTGATGATAAAGCCAGGTTTATTAATTATTCAATAAAATTTGAAGCTAATCTGTTAAATTAATTAAGCATTAGCATTTTCAACATCATTTACAATTATCATAAGACCATTAATTAGTATTGATAAGGAAAAAAAAAAGACAACAATTATGATTTAGTAAATTATAGTGAATTTTTTATTGTTAGATAACTGATATATGATAACATTTCAATCATTAACAATAATTTATTCAGAAGCATACGGTATTCAAGGGTTTTTTCTTTTTTTTTTTTTTTTAAATTTTAAACTAAAAAATTTATATGTATTCAGAATTTGTGTAAATGGACATTTGATAACAGAACGAACACTTCTTCGTAACGGTTATCGTCTTCTAATTGGTAATAATCATTTCTTTCGTGTTAATTGTCCAAAGGAAACGATTGACATTAGCGCTTCTATTATAGAAGAATCAAATGCAATGTTATTCGATTATTATGATGCTTGGCAAGAGGTTTTATTTTCTCTTTTAATTTTCGATGCTAAAAAATTATTTTAATTTTTTATAAGTATTCTAAAAAAAAAAAGAAAATTTATTCAAATGACTTCTAAATATTGCTATTCTACTATATATGGATTGTATAAATTTAACCTAATTTGTGACAAAAAAAAAAAGAAAAACTTTAAAGTAATTAATTATTTATAATCACAAAAAAAAAAATTTTTTAATGATAAGAACAATTTCATTATTTAATTTAAATGATTTCTAATTTATAAGAATAATTGATAATAATTAATAGATAAAAATAATTTAAAACATTTAGGTAAATTCTGGTGTAAATGCGAATCCAATTACAACAGCTGTTGATCAATATATGGAACAAATTACGAAAAAGCATGAAGTTTGTGCTTTTTTTTCTTTTTTTTTCTCTCTCTCATCTTAAACTTTATGATATACAAAGAAAAGAAAAATTGAAATTAAAAAGTTTTTTTTTAAATTCAAATTTAATTTTTTATATGTTTTCAATTGTTGATTTCCTGATATTTTTGAAAATTTTTTTTATGAGATAATAGATTAATGTAATTAAATGTTTTCGATTTATAGCAGCATATATAACAATCAAATTTCAATTAAATTTAAAATTTGCAATTAAAATATTTAAAAAGGTAATAAAAAAGCGGAAAAAGATGAAAATTTTCCAGGAAGAAAAACAGGCAGCATTGGAGCAACAATATGAAGCATTCGAAAAATATATTCAGGGACTTACTCAAAGGTTTTTATCATTTATTTTTTATTGATCAAAGATTATTTTATTCAAATTTCATTTAATGTATATCTTAAATTAGCAATTTTTTCTTCGATAATTACTTATTGCATATATTTAGTTTAATTCAAATATTTCAGCTTTACACCTTCAACACCAACACCAAGTTTCGGATATTTGACACCAATAAGTACACCTGGATGTCAATTCCCGTCTATTGGTTTTCCGATTAATCCAAAAGCTAGCATGCGATCAAAATTCTTCAATTGGGCTCAACATAGGTTAGTTTTAATACCCTTTGACCTTTGTCCTTTTTTTTTCTTTTTGAAATATAGTCACAGCTATTTTTGAAAATTGAAATTATTTCGGTCTTTTTTTTTTGTTATTTTCAGGGAGAAAATGTTCAAAGAAAATTTGATACGTTTGAAAAGTGATATTGTACGTGCTAATGCATTAGCTCGTGAAGCTAATATGATTACTGCTGAGTTAACACCATCTCGATGTCCTGTCACTTATGATGTCACCTTACAAATTCCTGCAGCAAATTTAAGGCCATCAAAAATAAAAGTAATATTTTCCGTATTTTCATTTCGAAATTCATGACAGTGATATGGATAAATATCGTATAAAAAAGAAAAATATCATTATTATTTAGTTTGTTCCGGATAAACAGGTGATAGTTACAGGAAGGAGGATTTGTTTGTGAACCGTTTATTGTGGTAAAACGGACCGGTATTGATGGTTATCAGTTATGGTCAACTGCCCAATTAGAAAATAAATTAATTGATATGCGTGAAATGTATAACGAAAAAATAACCGGAATGGAAAGGTATTATTTAATTTCTTTTTGAAATGATTTTCGGAATATTGAGTTTTTGGGGTATTGAATTTCTGAAAAAATAATGTTTACGGATAAATTATCCTGTTCAAATTGCTTTCCGGTTATTTGTATCAATGGTTAAAATATATATTTCAGGTATTTTCTCATATATAACATATCTATGAAGTTTCTTTAATTAATAACTGGATTAATTAAAAAGGCTTCATCTATCTTTTCTTTTTTTTTAAAAATCTAATTCACAAGTTCTCCTATTTTATTTAAAATATATATTTATCAAATATGAATTTATGATTATTTGGTGATAACTCAGTTTATCACTGAGTTCATTATGAAATCATAAATTAAGTGTTAATTGCTGTTAATTATATCATTTGTCAAACGAAATTGAGAAACATACTAGATTACTGAAAATTTTGAAATCTTTGGTAAAAAAGAACTAATATGTCACTTTTTTTTTCGAAAAGAGAAATAATAATAAAATTGAAGGAACGAATAATTGATTAATTAATTAATTAATTAATTAGTACAATGATTGGCGTAAAATTATATATTGATAATAACATCGTTAATAATGTCCAGCAAACAAGCAATTATATTTAAATAATTACCAATTATATTTAAGCAACTACATATTTAAATGTAATTAATATGCAGGAACGATGCATCAACATCGGAACAATTGGTAGAGGATGAACAATTTGCGCTCGAAGATGATTTTAATATAAATGAATATCATAAGCCAATTATTGAAAATGCTTTTGATAGTCAGGTGATAAATCTTTTCCTGTTATTTATTATTTCAAATTATAATTAGAAAAAGAAAAGAAAAACGGAGATATATATTTCATTATAAGTAAAAATAATAGCAAATTTTGTTGTTTAAAATTTTAATCAATTAATTTACTTAATTTATTTATTAATCAACATTTAATTCAATAATTGTATTTATATTTAAAATTAAATCAAACAGAGAAAACAAAATGGGTGTTTATTTTTCAAATCGAATAAATAAAATTATAGGAGCATCATAGTTTAATTGGTGTTGCTAATGTATTTTTGGAAGTGTTACTTCATGATATGAGGCTTGATTATCATGTTCCAATTATTAGTCAACAGGTAAGCATTAAAATAATACAAATAATAAGAGATAAAATTATCTGGCTAAGTTTTAAAAAACACACAGAGAAAAAAAGATATCTAGCCAAGTCTAAAGAACAATAAAAAAATCTAGGCCAAAGTCTAAAACAACAAATAAGAAAAAAAAAAAAAAAAAGAAATAGGTAATAAA